CCTGCAAAAGGATAATGTCCGGTTTCGTCTCACGGCTTCGAATAAATTGCTCGAGATTTCCCCGCTTCCTCCTATATCCCCGGCAGTTCCACTGCCAGATCGTGTACTGTTGTTTGTGAGTGTTAGTGTGAGTGTGCGCGTGTCTAGCCATGGTGATGCTTGTGTTTAATTTAGCCCATCGCCGTCGAGGCGACTGGGGTGCGGCTGAATCTGCGGCTCGGCGTCTGGCAGCGCGTTCTGCTGCTGCTGACTCTGTTGCTGTCTAGCGTAGGGCTTACTCACCGTTCTAATCGGTCTGCCCGCAGATGGCGGGAGTCGCGCTTCAATGTTTTCTATGCGCGCCGTGTGCGCGGTGAGCATTTGTGTCATTTGTTCAGAGAGCTTAGCTATCGCACTATTGAACATGTCATTCATCTGTGCCACCTGTTTAGCAAAACGTTCATCGAGGCTGGTCTCGATAGTATCGATTTGTTTCTGTAGCTTATCATAACGGCCAAACCGCTGTGTGGATTCGTGCCTGGCAGGATCTAGTGCTATCCTTTTCGCGGTACACGGGTGGTCTTCGCTTCCGCCTGCCCCCTCTCCCGAACTGCTCTCGTCATCCGTGCCCATCCCCGCCGCCTCGGGTCTCGACGGAGTCGAAGACCGAGGCGTCGGTGGTGGCGGCGCCGTCGACTGTTGCTGCGGTTGTTGCATTCGTGGAGCCTCTCCTTTCAATTTGGAATTTTCCGCTCTAAGGGCGGCGTTCTCGCGTTTCAGCTCTGAAATTATCGATTGTAATGGTCCTAGGCGTTGTTCTAGCGCTCGCTCTACCGCTAGCTTGAGCTCGCTCCCACCGCCGCCACCGGCGGCGGGACCGCCAGGACGTCCCGCCGAAACAACGCCGCCGGCGCGAAAGGCGGCTACATCCGCCCATCTCACCTGCTGCCATGTTCCCATGGGTCCTTGTTGTTGCGGCTGCCGCCACGTCTGATGCTGCTGACTTTGTTGGGTGCCTTGGTTGACAGCTGTGGCGCCCGGAACGGCGCCACCGCGCGTCTTAGACATGCTTCTCGGCCTTGGTGTCCGGCTGCGAGAGCGGGACCGGGATTTACCGCCGCCGCCTCTCGCGTCTCGGCTTGTCGAGCGTCCTCTTCGGGTGGCGTTGGATGAATGACTGTCAAACGCCGGATAATGATTGTAGTAACCTCCGTTGCCTTCGGTGCTAATGCCGCTGTTGTAGATGCTGTCGGACGCTGCGGCCGCTTGCTCTTCTTCACGCCGCTTTCGCTCTAGGCGGCGACGCTTGACTATGTAAGGAGTCTTGTATCTCGCCTTGCAGACGCGGTCACCCGTGAGATGATCCTTGCCACACAGTTGACACCGCGGCTCGCAGTGATGGTCAGACGGTGGGTTACTGCTTCCGCAGCCACGGCAAATCTTGTCGGCAGGGTTGGGACACACGTCGGAGCGATGGCCCAGCCTCCCGCACGCGTAGCACACGTCGATGTGCTTTCTGTAGAGGGAGCATCTCACAAGCATAGGTCCATAGTATACGTGTCTGGGAACACGGAAACCGTCGAACAATACGATGATGTTGTCCGTGGTGCCCATTCGCTTGGCATGCAGCACGCTGGGGTTGCGCTGCGTCACTAGGTTGTTAACGATGTCTTCCGGGCTCTCGTCTTTGGAAATGTTCCTAATCAGGCCCTTGGAAGTGTTCTCCGGGGCGGCCTGATAGGCGTTCGCCTCGAACTCTCGGTTCCCGATGCAAAGCTTGCTGATGGCTCCGTAGCGTTTGGCTCTGTCCGCGGACGGAGTGCTGAGCACCACGACGTTCTGTTTAACGTTGAGGCAGATGCTGTCCTCTCTAGCCGCTTCTCTACCGATACCTGCCGCGTTACGAAGGCAGCAGTAAATGCGATCTATCTTGTATTCAGCCCCGTTGAATCCGCCGCGGGGGCGCACAATGATCCTGTAGTCATCGGGCGGTAACTCTGGCATTCGGCTCGCCTCAGCGAGGTGCTGCAAGTAACGAGCACACTTCTTTTTATTCTGCGCCGCTGTGGCAGTATCCGGGGCAATCTCTGTAGTCGCCGCGGCAGCCGCCTGTTGCTGCGTCTCCGTCTTCTGGTCTTGCGCTGTCTCGGACGCGCCGTCGGCCTGTTTCGTTCTCTTTACGCTGCACCATCCTGCTCCCTCGCCGAAATCTTCCGGCCGAATGTCCTCTCCCTCTACCTCTACGACATCCATTTAGCCCTGGCAAAGGCCTTGTACGCTGCCGTCGGGGATCGGGAGCTCCGAGGAGGTCCGGCGACACGTTAGGCTTGCAGGCCCCACCGCGGCAGCGGCCGGCCTATGGCGTCGTGCGCAGAGACGCTGGACTTGGCGTTCTTGCTTTCGTGGTGGAATAAAAGCGCCAATAAGTGGCTAAAAAGTGGTCCCACCTGGCAAAACTTGGTGTCAGGGAAGTCCTTGAAACTGCCGTCGATCGATGGTGAGAAGCGTTTTCCACGATAAATTCGACAATCCACCAAAAACATAGGAAAGTTGCGGAGCCGACGCGCAACACGTCCGCTCTCCGTGGCCCCCTAGCGGTCGAGTCCCACATTGCTATAACCAAAAATAAAGAAGGCAACAAAATGGCTGTTTGAAAGCATAGATTGGATCAGTTGACGTCGTTTGATGAAATTTACGCGACGCCAAAATGACCAACTCGGCGATTTTTTGACCATGTGAGGATAATGGTGCTTTTATGTTCCTGAGACTCTTGTAACGCACCCGATAGCTATAGCTGAAATGCTCAACAAACTTGATATTATTTTTTTAATTAGCGAAAAACCGCTATACCAAAACCGAAACCTAATCGATTGCACTTCCACGTGTGACGTAATTCTTTGCCTGAACTCACCTGATCGCTCCTAATGCCCGCCAGATGGCACCACCTGTCTACGCCATCCGCGGCGATCAGCTAAACGCTTACGCTGTTATGGTGAACATAAGGCGAATCGTGTGCGGCCCACAACGCAACACCACTTGCCACCTGTCACACGACCACCAACACGTAAAAGGAAATCAGGCGCTCAACCAAGGAAGTGCCAGCCAAACCCACACAATCCATAGCAGACAAGCAGACCCTGCAGTGGCACACCAGTTCCGTCACTTCCACCAGGCAAAAATCAACGTCGCACAAACAATGTTGCCATTAATTCTGGAAAGCGAGGTTCGGAGGCAAGCTGTGAAATTAATTTGAAAAGAATCTCCGCAGCTCTCCAGCCGGCAATTTGACATGAATGGCGGAAACGTGCAAATGAACGTACTTAGTGAATTTCGTTGAGATATAGGTCCGTATTGACAAGCCAACCTCATCCTTTCCTCGAGTTTTTCCCATCAGTTTTGAACGGTAATTGAACTTGATGAATAAAGTAGGCTGATATGCATGAACCGTTCTGTTCTTATCTTTCACCTTGTTACCATTTTTGTGACTTTATAACGCATGGATAGAGTACAGGAAGTTGAGAAAAATCTGAGGTAAAGCCAAGGTTGGTTTGTGAATATGGGCCTAAGTGACCTGGGAAAATCGCTGGGGTTAGCCTTTAAGAGTCTGCAGCACAAGTTAGCGCTTACCGGTAATCAAACAAAATTGAACGTTTTACACGACAGAGACGCCCTTCGTTACACTATTCAGCAAGCTTTAAGTCATAGCGGACTTTAAACAAATTTACATCGCCTGAAATCTAAGCAAAACAAACGTCCACGGAATTTCGAACAGGGGGTAGGTCTTTGAACAAAGGGTATCACTGGTGCGAACGGTTTAAAAAGTGTAGATGCCATTGCCAAAGCTGCAATCCCAAGTTTGCTTTTAAAAGCCATGGCTCCAGTGTTATTCTCAGTTAAAAAATTTGTCACCGTCATTACGTTTATGTTCCATGCCTCCGAAATATATCCAAAAATCAAACACGGCACTTTATTATCTAAGGACCGCCATTACCGTGGCATGGTTTACGCTGGAAGTTGCTTTCAGTGACTCTCGCTTAGTCCTGTGACCCTTTAAGAAGTACAGAACAACACTCGTCTGTTGAAGACAGTCTCTGTTTCCGCGTGCCGCAAAAACGAGCCGATTTGCGCCTTCTGAAGAATGAACAGACGTGTAGTAACTGGCAGGCGATTTCAGTCTAACAGGATTGATACCCTGAACGGTTACATAAATTTATATCACTGAGGAAAGTTAAGCAGAATGAACAGAAGAAGTGTCTCAGACACGCTGGCCTTTCACAAAGATAGGCCCTCTACAGGGTCGTTTGTAGGAGAGTGTTCATGCAGTTATAACCCCTCATACCCTCAATTTCTTCATGTTTTATTTTTCATGTGATACTAACGTATCTACGCGCCTTCAACTCGACCACCAGTTGCCAAAGTTAGCTGCTTTACACATAAATAGGCCCCAAAATAAATTCGTGAACACGGGCCTCCGCCCCCCGATAGGAACATCGGCCAACCTGTCTGAGGCACTTCCTCTGTTCATTGTGCTTATTCTCCTGTGTGTTTCTATCGGTCGGCTCCCATCTAAATTTTTTAGGAAAGTTAGTGTTACCGCTGGGTATAAAGTGCTTTTACCGACGTGCTTTGTACAGCCAGTTAATACTGTGCGATAAGATAGTGCGAAGCCGCCAGATACACTGCTTTTCATTGTGGGGCACGAAATGATTGATTGATTGATTTGTGGGGTTTAACGTTTCAAAACCACCATATGATTATGAGAGACGCCGTAGTGGAGGGCTCCGAAAATTTCGATCACCTGGGGTTCTTTAACGTGCACCCAAATCAGAGCACACGGGCCTACAACATTTCCGCCTCCATCGGAAATGCAGCCGCCGCAGCCGGGAATGGAACCCGCGACCTGCAGGTCAGCAGCCGAGTACCTTAGCCACTAGACCACCGCGGCGGGGCGGTGGGGTACGAAAGGCAACACCAAAAGTCAATCGAAATTGACGCTGCTGCAGAAATATCGCTTTTCCCACCTCTGGTGATTCCGGCCATGTCATGACGTCATCGGTGCCAAACTGCTTCCTCCATTCGACATGCTGCAAGAGAAGAAAGGGCATATTCGTATTATACTCTCGCGCAATAAAAGAGTGTCATCTATAAATGAGACTGCGATCAACTTTGGATGCTTCAATATACTGCATAGCTTTCCTCAATGCATTACTGAGCATGGTTGGTCAGATGTTATTGCGCATGAGGGTGCGCTGAATAATCAGGAAATAACAATACGTGATCACAGGCGCTCACGTAAAAGCGAATTCAACTGTGATACATTACATCAAGCAATATTGCTAAGTCGATAGTGTGTTATAAACATAGGTTGGCGAAATCACTCGGACTCACCCAGACTCAGATCGAGCCGTGAGTCTGTGCGAGTCCGGTCAAAAAAAATATATGGGTTTTAATTAAGAGTTCGAGTGAGTCCGGTTGAAGAAACTTTTGATGAGTGCAAATCCGAGTGAGTCCGGCTCAGGAAAATTTCGATCAGTGTGAGTCATGAGCAACGCGCAGATTTTCCTCGACCTATGGCTACTAACGCTTAAAATATCAGCAAGGAAACATGAACAAAGGAGGGGGGGGCAGAAAAATATTGAACTTTGTTCAACCGTAAGGTCCTTATAGTGGTCGTAACTTGATGAAAGTAACCGCAAAAAGAAAAATAGAGGAAGGGTGCTTGAGGCGGCGCACTAAAGCTGCAGGGCTGAGAAACAGCGATTCCTGATTAATCATTTGCCTACGAATCGTTGCTACACTGATCCTGAAATCCGAATGTGCGCTAATGTTGTCGGGGTCAGCGAGTCCACTTCCGGTTTCCCGTTAGCTGTGCCCGTGGCTGTTTTTGTAACATCCCCGTGTTCGAAGAGTGCGACCAGTCGTATTGGCTGTAGTATGCAGGCACATGGAAGGACCTGTGCGTCCCTTCTATATACCTTAAGCTATGGGGATTTCCACTTGGGACACGCTTCGAGGCATACGTAACACTAAACACTGATGAGAGTTTGCAGATAACTTGCACGTGTATACGTATAAATGGTCGAAGATTGCGAACTTACCGCTCTCAGCATCTGTTCGGCTTTGTTGAGGTTGAAATCCCGAGCTGCGGAACGGGAAGCAAAACAACCGTTTCACATGAAGTTCGCAACGCAGGGTCTAAAAACTCATGTTTTACGTGGAAAACTTTCGTTCTGACCACGACGCACTGCTGTATATAGAGGGCGTCTACAGATTTTGAAACCCTCGGCTCCTTTAACGTTCACTAATACGGAACGTTTGAAATTAACTCCCATTGTCAAGTAGTGCAAGGCAATGCCCATCAAGCTATTTATTTCATGCCAGCAACGCGCCAGATAAACTTAGTTCAGGTTTGTCATTTATAAAGCGTTTCGCTGCATTAGCTTGGAAGTTCGCTTCGAAATCTGTTTTCATCGTCCGTAGCTTCTTGACTTGAGCGCAAATTCAAATAGAGAGGCATTTAAAGGACGAAGCTCCTTGAACCGTGGGTCGTGCGTCCCCAACGTATGTAGGAGTAGTAGTAGTAGGTAGCCACCTCTCGTTTAGTCCTTGAAATGTTCGCTGGATGGCCTGTATTTCCTTATGATGAATATATGATAAAAAGATGCGAGATGGCGGAACTTGAAGTGTTCGCTACATGGACGGACGGATGAATGGACGGATGGACAGACGCATGGACGGAGAGACAGACAGATGCATGGACGGACGGACGCACAGACGCACGCACGGACGGATGGTAGCAAGAACGAACGGAAGGACGGACGCTTTGTTCCACTCATCATCATGCACTCCGTGGATATGCTGCGATTCTTTTTTCGCATTCCAGTTGAATCGACATGCGTCGCAACAGCCGGTAATAAAAGATGCGCCTTCGCGAAGGCAGTAAGTCACCAAGATAGGCAACAAAATAAATGAGCCACGATGTTTATTAGGTGTATTTATACCAGTAGTGCGAGGCCAAATTAGCGTTCAAAAGTTTTTGAAGGATAAAGAATGAACGTTGTCCTGTAAAAAAAAAAAAAACTATCGTCTTTAAAAATTAGAATCTGCTCGATTAAACTAGCCTGATTCCATCTGGTTCACTTTACCAAAAGTGTCTTAAAACCGAAACCTCGCACATTTAATAAAGCCGTTTACGATAGCCACATACGTAAACACAGTTCTTTTTTGATTCTCTACATAACGCTGTCGAAGTCTGTGAGAAATTGGTTGCAAGAAAAACGTCCGAAGCAACCAGTTAAGTAAAGGACACACCTCACTTTGAGTTTGAAAATGAACGTAGGAACCGTGATTACATCCGAGTAAATTCCTCGCTTAAATCGACAAGAAACTGGTGAAAAAAAAATGCAGTATATTGACACTGTGCGCCCACCTCTTAGCCATCGGAGAAGGTAGCGGTCATCGTGGTCAGGCTTCAGAACATCTGCAACCGCCTTCCTGAACTGTAAATAAAAGAAATAACATTGGCTTAATCAACGTGCCATGATAATATTCCGTCACTATACGTAATCTAAAAAATATACTCTACGCGTCACATACCAGCAACACTAATGGTTAGCGCCCGACCATCGTCGCATGATGGCAGTGATAATGAAACTAACATTTCTAGATTGCAAGTTCGTGACCCATTGGATTGATTGATTGATTTGTGGGGTTTAACGTCCCAAAACCACCATTTGATTATGAGAGACGCCGTAGTGGAGGGCTCCGGAAATTTCGACCACCTGGGGTTCTTTAACGTGCACCCAAATCTGAGCACACGGGCCTACAACATTTCCGCCTCCATCGGAAATGCAGCCGCCGCAGCCGGGATTCAATCCCGCGACCTGCGTATCAGCAGCCGAGTACCTTAGCCACTAGACCACTGCGGCGGAGCGCATAATCTTGTTGCTCAGTTGTGCATCAGAAGTACGGAACAAAGTACTCTAGTACAATTGATTGTTTTGGTTGCAGGTTATCGCATATTACTACAGAAATACCCGTGTTTACTGTAAAATACACGTACTGACGTTACACATGGACCCAAAATTGCGTAAGAGAGGGGCTGTCGTTATGGTAAAAGCAAATGCAGCTGTACTTTATGATTACACGTGGACAGTTCTGTCACTTCCACGCACTGCTCAGCAAGTACCTGTAAGCCGAGCTTGCACGAAACCGACAAGTAAACCCTATAAAGAAGTGTAGAAACTAGAGTTGACAATGTCGCTTTGATAAACTATGAAAGCATGTTACTGTCTCAGTCTTTTGTGAATTATAATATATCACTCCCATTACCAGAGATTGTCAATGAAAGCGATATCTCGTTATCAGTAAATAGTTTGAAACGACGTCAGGAGGAGATCTTGAATGCGTGCTGCAGTTAACGTGTTCTCGCGTCGTAACAGGTCAAGTGATAATTTTACATAGCCGTCAGAATAGATACGTCTCTGCACTTTAAATTTCAGCCACCTCATTTGATTGATTTGTGGGGTTTAACGTCCCAAAACCACCATTTGATTATGAGAGACGCCGTAGTAGAGGGCTCCGGAAATTTTGACCACCTGGGGTTCTTTAACGTGCACCCAAATCTGAGTACACGGGCCTACAACATTTCCGCCTCCATCGGAAATGCAGCCGCCGAAGCCGGGAATCGAACCCGTGACCTGTGGGTCAGCAGCCTAGTACCTTAGCCACTAGACCACCGCGGCGGGGCCCACCTCATTTGAGTTGAAGGTCTTTGACGCGAGCGTAACAGAACCGCCGCTGCCCTCGCATTCGGTCTCTTTTTATTTTGTGCACAAATGCATTCATATGAGCCTCCAGAGGGCTCTCACTCTTCTCCTAACACAACGTTTCTCCGCACCGCAGCATAATATGACTCGTCCAAATAAGTTAGCACCAACACAATTATAGCTTGCATACCAAAAAAACATCACTCGGGTGCAATAGTATGACTCTACCTTGGTCAAGCATGGCATAGAAGTTGCCCTTTTCCAAGCTGTGAGACTGGGAAGATTCACTTAGAATCCTTCCGCCAAGTACAAGACCACGTGCAAACGACCGTCACATAATCCGTGGTTGTTTGCGGCCGCACTACGCGGAAGTTATTTGACCGTGTATGTACGTTTTGTCGGTGAGAGGAAACCGGTTCTGTAGCGTCGGATCGCCATCGCACGCGGAATAATTTAGAGGTCAGGAACTTGGCAGAGTAGACGGCGGCATAATCCCGAGTCTCCGAGGGATAGACGAACGTGTGATGCCGTGATTACGCATGACGCCACGTTTCGGCATGCTGCTGTCGTATTCTCACTGAAGTTGCCGGAAGCGACTTCGGCCGTATTCGCCTGTCTTCAGCTCTTGCGTTTGTGATTAAAATGAGCGATACGCAACCCATTGATTATTGTATTTTTTTTGCGGTTACTGGCATAAATGAAGTCACTCAATCGTCCATCGATCAAGCTAACAAAACCTTGGGGTGCGAGGGTATCGTGTGCGTGAATGATAGAAATGGCGATTAAAGCTTCAAACAAAACAAGAAACGGTTATGTGAGAGGCCATGACAGCCGCGCCTTTCTGTGCCGGTGCTTCCTCAGCGAAGATCTCACGACGTAATTAGAAAGCAATCCAATAATGCCGTTGGAGTTGTACCGAAACTTTCGTATCATAAAGTGGCTTCCGAAAAATCAATGATTATGAAGGGGAAAGACAATACGGCCAATATTACCGAGCTAAAAGTTTGTACGCTCAACATTTTGACGCTGAAATAATACAGTAGAACCTGTAACAAGCACAGTAAATTGAAATCCAAGTACAGCAGGGGAGAAGAAACTAGCTGTTCATATTTGACTGCTGTGATAATTTAAATATACTTTCGTACCTTCGCTATCTTCCTTCAAACATCGGGCAACTCTCGTGCCTTCAATTATTTCGAACTATCCTTTCCTATATCGCTTCGTGAGAAATCATGAAGCTGTCTAAACGTGCGTTATTTCTTGTTTCTTGCTCGCACAATCATATTTGTTCCATTTGTAACTTTTTCAAATAATTCGCAAGGTCCGAGTTATTGCGCAGCCACGACATCACTGAAAGGTTCTTGCGACAGGTGCTATCTTATGTTACAAACAAGGTTTATAAGCAGCCTCAAGAGTTTTTCAAAAAAACTCTTTTGGTTCGGTGTGAGTGAGTATCAGTACAAAAAAGTGCAAATCATGATACGATATCAACCTATATAGTTGTGTTTATTTATTTAGTGTTTGTAACGTACTGTACTCTGAGAGCCAATACGGTGTTGTACATGAATGCTCACGAGTTTATAGTTTGCCTCATCAAAGAACATTCCTTCAGCTAATGTCGAATCTCAGCGCTTTACAAACAAATTACATTTTTAATACCTTGCATAAAAAACACATCTTGGTATTCCAGATCATTCGATACGATGAGAATACATCCTAAAAATTCTTTAGAAATCCCTATGGTACTCTTGATGAGCCTCGCGTTATTTCTTAGCGACAAAATTGGACGGCAGCAACAAAAAAAAGTGCTGTAGCTTTTTTTTACTAACAACACACTGGGTACTTCGAGCATAAACGGCAAACCAAAAAAATATAGAGACGTGTATCAAGAAAACCTTGGCTCTGACGTGCTCTTCGATGTCGAAGGACGACGCAAAGAAATGGGCCGTCGTGAAGACATACAAAGCCCCCATGAATGCACGCGCACATATCGATCCGCTTGCCTAGCGTTATCTGTAAACGTAGCAACGATCTCGAACGCCAATTCGGGTGGCTGGCCTCGGTGCTCCGGCACTCGAAGCACGGCGTCACCTTGGCCTTCTTGGCGTCGCGTCCTTGACCGTGGGCTCGCATTCGCGAGCCGCTGTCGTGTTCGCTGGTACAACGCAATGTTGGCTCGCGCTGGGTTACTTGGAATACGCAACTACTGCGCAGAAATTACAGCCCGGGAAATGCCGACGTCGAACTGTAGGTTTATTTGACATTTCACTAGTATGTGAAAGGTTCGTATACGTTGAAAAGCTTTCGGTGGTGAAACAATGATCTTTCGCAACCTAAGAATAAACGTGAGCTCTGCTTCCAAGCGCCGCGGTTCTAGGCAGAAGATATTTGTACCTATGTCACATCCACTTACATTTGCTTACTTTCCCAAACACATAATAATATCTGAGGTTTAACGTCCCGAAAGCGAGGTGCGATTATGCGGGACGCCGTATTGGAGGGCTCCAGAAATTTCAAACTTCAAGGGATATTGAACGATACTTTTGCCCCATTTTTCAGCTAAGTTGAAAGATTGGGTGATGACACCAAAAAAATACCACTTTCATTTCAAGCAGAAACTTGAGGAACAAAATAAATTTAATGCATTTTCCGCAAACTGCTGCATTTAGCAGCCGCGTCGTGATACAGAAGTGCCGTATAAAAAATGAAGAAATGTGTAAAAAAGGGTGTCTTTTTGTTCCACAGAAATAATCATCATCCGGCTTACTTGCGTTTCCTTTCTCTAAAATTCGGCGCTGGCCAATTTCTTATCAAGACAGCCATGTCACGCTGATGTCGTTGGTGACCCGAAAGTAGCGAGTGCGTGGCGATAATGCAAGAAAAAAAAGCGCGAAATCGATTATTATTGTGGGACAAGAAGACGCCCCTTTTTCTTTTTATTTTCTCTGGGTGTGACGTTACATTCGCTTAGAAACGGGCATGCATGCCAACAATGCCAGCCATTGCCCACGTCTCTCGACCCGCTCACCTCCCGCTATGGTTCCCAGAATTTGATGCATTTCCACTCTGAACAGCACCAACAGCGAAAGATGATCCCGGCTTTGGTAAAGCTACCCTTCAAGAAAGAATTGCCCCCACCTCCCCGAAGGCAATCGTGAGGAAATTCTAATGCATTTCTTGCGCCGAGGGCGTAGTAATCTTAATGACGTAAATTAATGACGAGAGACTTGTACCGTAACCATTTAGACATCATTCAGCCAGCGAACGGTTGAGTGAGGTGGGGGGGAGTGTTTATATTTAGAAGAAGGAAAAGAAAAGTGAGCCCCGCAACTGTCTGCATCAGGGTGCGACACTTCAGCAGTAGCTCAAAAGGGATGGGAGGGAGGAGGGATTAGAAGGATAGGAATAAAGGTGTAGAGAGAGAGAAAGAGAGATGAGGTAAGCGTGAAAGTGTGAGAGCGACGACATATGGAGGGGATAGAAGAGATAGGAAAGATGGAAACACGGTCACAGGAGTCCGAGGACGGGGCACCACTTGCGAGAGCTCTTGTCGACGTCAGGAGGTGGCGTAGAGCAAGTCCAGTCGGTCAGAGCTACACTGTCGTCGGAGATCGGCGTCAGGAGATGACGTAGGGCGAGCCCAGTGGGCCAGAGCTACGCTGACGCCGGAGATCGCGAGGGCACAACCGGTCGGCACGGAGTCCAGCGAGCGAGTTGGTAGAGTGAGGCCC